AGACTGAAGTATATTCTATTGCTGCAGCTGTTGACCTTTCGACGCTTACAGTTTTGTGTTTGAATGGAAAATGTTTTGTTTTTGAGTTTTGTGTTTGAAACACAGTTTTGTGTTTGAAAATACCCCCTCTACCTCTGGTATGTGCTGTTCCAAGCTGATTTGTGTTCTAATGGACTTGCCCAGTGAACAACTTAAGGTTAATGTGCCTGGCTATCCCATGTTGTCTTCATATTGATGAGCCATATGCTGCTACGCAGCCCCACACATCTGAAAGTTTGTGGTTATCTCTGATCTCAGCACCTTCGCTACGACCTGAACAGGCGACTGACCGAAAGGTGCTGCTCAGACAGGACTAGGTGGCGCTGGCTGATTTGAAGCGTCTCAGAAGCTGACGTAGGGCCCATTCGCAATTCGCATGTCGCAGCAATATAATATCCTGTATCCCACATTGCGAAACAGCAGTAATGACATTTTTTCTGAACCTTCTGTTATGCGTTAAGCAAACAATGGCACAGCTAATAAATATCCGAAAATGCGAATGAACGCTCGGCAAGATCCTTCACGGCTGCTGCCAATTTTTGCAGTCGGGAAGTTTCACTTTACGGACTCGTAGTTGGAGCTCGCATATAGTCAACCATCCGCCTTGTAAACGTGGTCCACCGTGCACACGGTCCGCCTGTGCTCAGTCCCGTTTGTTGTGCCGGGCGCCGCCGCCGTGCGCCGCTCGGCCGCCGAGCACGCCCGGTGCCGCTGACGCAGTTGCGCCACCGCGCCACATCGCCGACCTTCGGTCAGCTCAGAAGCCGCACAGCGTTAATCTTATCAGCACAGGAGGACGGCGGCACCGGCCGACCGACGCCACAGACCGACCGAGGGGCCGCGAGCGACAGCTATCCGTCCGACTGACGACCGACTGACCGACTACCTACCTGTCTACGGACCCGCGGCGGATCTACCCACCTACCTGTCTACGGACCGGCGGCGTATCTACCTACCTATTTACCTTCGGACCCGCGGCGGATCACCATGGCCTGCTGCCGGAGCGTCAAGCTGCTGCGGTTCTGGCTGCTGGTGCAGAACCTGGTGCTGTTCGCCGGCGCGCTGGCGCTGCTGACGGTCAGCGTGGATGCCCTCTCCTCGGAGCACCCCCACCTGGAGTCGGTGCTGGGCGTGAGCGTGTCGCGCGGCGCCGCCCTCCTGCTGACCGCCGTGGCCACCCTGGTGCTGGTGGTCAGCTTCCTGGGCTGCTGCGGCGCCATGCTGCAGAACACCTGCCTGCTGGGCCTGTTCGGCTGCTTCAGCGTCCTGCTGTTCATCCTGACGGTGGCCGGGTTCGCGTCGGCGCTGGTGGCCGCCGGACCGGAGGCGGACGTCGTTCAGCGCGACCTGTTCGAGTCGATGGGCCGCTACGGCAACGACACAGAGGTCACGGCCGTCTGGGACTTCCTGCAGCGCGACTTCCAGTGCTGCGGCGTGCGCGGCGGAGCCGACTGGAGCAACCACAGCTCGATCGACACCGAGGTGCCTGCCAGCTGCTGCCGACCGGGCGCCAACGGCACCCAGCTGGCCTGCGAGCAGCAGCCGACCGACAGGAACTCCTACTACGAGCACGGCTGCTTCTCGTCGGCGCAGCAGCTGCTGGAGGACCACAGCGCCGCGCTGGCCGGCGCCACCGCCGCCGTCGCAATCTTCCTCGTCCTCTCGTGCACGCTCTCCTGCTTCTACATTAAGATGAAACGGTAAGGGACGAGACGAGACGAGCGGATAGGGGGACAGCTAATGCAGTAAAAGCAATCACTGTGTTCGCTAGAGCCCATAAAAGCCTGTGGATGTGCTCAAGTTAGACCTTTGACCTACCGTTGACCAGTAGCGTGATCTCAAAATTAAAATATTAGGTAGGGAGTGCTTAAGATGTGCATTGGAGATCCTTTTTATCGCCGCCTTGCGAGTCTACGCTTACGATGCTTAGCTTCGCATTATCAATCGCATTCGGCTAAAAGTTCAGCGCAGGTTAAGCACTACGCCGCTAAACCCACCAGGTATTCCAAGGTCACTGGCTGATAGGAATGCCCTCTGTGATACGATATCAGTTCGGTTGACATCACATTTTCCTCAAGAATTCTCAGCCGCTGTAGAAGTATGAGGGTGTTCTGACCATAGAAGATTACCAGTCTGTTTAGAGGGAGGGGAGGAAACCGGCCTTGGAGGGTCCAAGCCAGTCGTGGGGATCTCACACCGGTCTGAGAGGGCTCAGAGGGCTTCGGTACTCACTCCCCAGTGGACGGCGGCTCTATGAGGCTCGGAAGCCCACGTCACCACCTTCAAAAGACCTCCAGTCTTGTAAAACGTAGTTCATATGGGTACTGTTAGAGCACCTTTATCAAAGTTAAGCTAGATTCAAGAAATATTGATAATGGGACATCACCGAGCAGGTACGGCATCAGCATCGAGGGACAGTCTTTTGTGATGGACCCTGGCCGGACCGGCCGGGCAGTGCTGCTGACCGACCTCAATGCTGTCGGGACTGAGACGTGCTGATACCGGCCAGCCGGCTGAGTCAGCGATGACGCAGCCGACGGACAAAGAGCCGTCAGGACCACTCGGTGTCCGGGTCCCGAGAAACGGCGCCTATCGGGGCGACATGCGCCGCGCTCTGCGCCGATAACAACGATTTGTAACGGTGCTACGAGATATAACAGCCCCTTGTGGAGTCTAACTGCATGCGTTACAATCGCGGTAATGCACGCCTCCCTAATCCATGCTATCAGCATCGCCAACTAGTCGAAAGGAGGCTTCCCATCTTTCCAATCGAATTTCGATGTTAGATTGGACACATTGAATACTCGTCAGGAAAACACCTGACACACCTGAAATCTTATGCAGAAAGATGCAGACTGATTCCATGGAAGTCTGTGAACGCGATACTCTGGATTCGAGTCCACTGCAAAATTGTATACCTTAGCAACGCCCTCGACAATTCAGTCTTCGGTTCGAGCCTATGAAGCCCCGAAAGCCAGCGCACCCCTAATACGACAATACCCAAGCTCATAAGCTTTGTCTGGCCTTTCATCGAGTTTTGTCTTACCATGTCTCTCTTGCATTTCAGCCGTTTGTGACCGGCCTCTGCGTATCAGCCCTTTGTGACCCTACCCTTTCTTGTGTTTCAGTCAAGCGTCTTATGAGCGCCTCACAGTCTGAGACGATCCGCGTGCTGGAGTACAGCGGTTTCACGCGAGTCAACGACGAGACGCTGCACGTGTCGCACGGCCCTCCGTCGGCCGCGGTTCGACCGGGCCCCAAACCGGCGGCGGCCGAGACCGATCAGGGCGCGGCGTAGACCGGCCCGGGACTGAGACATTATCTGCCCGCCGAGCGGTGACTGTGTGAGTGTGTGAGGACGCCGGCGATGCGGCTGCTGCGGTGTCTGCTGAGCGGCGCGCCGGCCGCCGCCCTCCCGTCGGCGCTGTACGTGTCCGGCCGCAGCGCAGAGCACGTCGTCTCCGTGCTGCGGCCGTGCCTGGACGAGGCGCTGGCGCCGGCCGCGCTGCCCGCGCTCCGACACAGCGTGCGCTGCCGGCGCGCCGCGCTCGACCTGGACGCCCTGCTGGCCGGCCACGCCCAGCTGCAGCGGCTGGCCGAGCAGAAGGCCGAGCTGACCCGGCGCCGGGCCGAGGTGGCCGCCCGCGGCGCCCAGCTGCGCCGCAGCCAGTCGGCCGACGCCGCGCAGACGGAGCAGCTGCGGCGTGACGGCGCGGCGCTCAAGGAGCGGCTGCGCGCGCTGCAGGAGCCGCTCTGGCGACTGGAGGAGGAGGTGCTGCCGCGACTGGCGCGCCTGCCCAACACCCTCCACCCGCTGACGCCGGAGGCCGAGGACGGCCTGGAGCCGGTGCCGCCGCCGGAGCGGGGCGCCGGGCCGCAGGAGCGTGTGCCGCTGCCGCCGACCGACCCGCTGTTCGCTGACGTGGAGCCGAGCGACGTCAGTCCGGGCGCCTACTACCTGCACGGCGCGGCGGCCGAGCTCGAGCTGGCGCTGCTCGAGTTCGCCTGCGCCGAGCTGGCGGCCGCCGGGTTCGCGCGCGTCAGCTGCCCCGACACGGTGAAGAGCCTGGTGGCTGAGGGCTGCGGACTCGAGTTCGGCGACCCCGGTGAGGTGGCGCGGTTGGCGGCCTGGCACGAGGGCACGCCCGACTCGCCGCTGGGCCTGCACCTGGTGGGCGGCGCCTCGCTGCCGGCCGTCTGCGCGCTGCTGGCCAAGAGCCGGCAGCCGACGGCTGCGCTGCCGCTGCGGCTGGCCGCCGCCGGCCGGCTCTACCGACCGCCGGCCGCCGCGCCCGCCGCCGCCCCGCAGGCGTCCGCCGTGCGCCACCTGACCGCCTGCGCCGCTGAGCACGGCGACGACGTGTTCGAGGCGAGTCTCCGGTCCGTCACGGCACTGGTGGCGCGGCTCGGTGCTCCGTGCCGGCTGCGCCACGTGGCCGCGCCCGGCCTGGCGCGCTCGGAGCGGCGCCGGACCGAGCTGCAGCTGCTGGTGGCGCGCACCGGCCGCCACGTGACGGTGGCGCACGTGTCCGACCACGGCGACTGGATCAGCCGGCGGCTGCACGCGGCGCACGGGGCGCCGGGCGCGCCCGAGAGCCGGCTGCTGCACCTGGTGGAGGGCGCCGCGCTGCTGGTGCCGCCGGCCCTCGAGGCGCTGCTGGAGACGGAGCCGGGCCGCCGGCGCCACTGGCCGCCGGCGCTGCTGCCCCACCGAGCCAGTCTGTAGTGGGCCGCCGGCATTGTGTGATCGGATAGGTTTGGATTGTGTAATGTATATGCTGTGAGTCATGAGCTGTAATGTGTGTTGGAATTGTTATAAATGAAGTCGTCTGATCTATACTTGTGATGCAACTAACTAGCTTAGCTACGTTCAGAGCACGAAACAGCACAATGAAAGCCGATATTAAGCGGAATGAACACCACGGCCTATCTTCAATCAAGGACATGAATAACTGTCTTGATCATGATCACGAGCACGTTTTATTCACAAAAATGATGCATAACAATCCAGCCCCGTCGCCTTCGCATTGTCACCACGTCACGTTTTTCTCCTCTTTGGAGGTACGGAATCGATAATATCGTCATCTTCGTCATCCTCCTCCGGGGCGTCTTTCTGGTCCTCACCGCCGGCCTGGTCCGTCCCGTTTGTTCCTGAGGAGATAATATCTGTGAACACCTGGGGCATTACAAGCAACCCCGCGGTTGACGCATAACGAGCAGCTCTCTGGCAATAATGCCTCGTAGAGACATTTTATAACCATGCCATCCATCACCTTGGTCTGTTCACTTTGACGTTATGGGTCCTATGACACAACTTAGAGGTCGACCGAGGGCCATCTGCCACATCGCTATACTTGTATGACCGATGCAGGGGCGTCGGTTATGAAGTGGATGCCCCGTTTCGCGGCGTCCTTTCGTCCACATATCAATATTGACCTCAACGATGGTATCTGGTCATTACCTGCCTACCTATCGCTATCGATGAATGCCTTAATTACAACTTGATGTTTTTTGTGAATAATTTATTTTCATTATAGAGGGTATTCATTACATTAATTTGATGTCTAAAATTCCTAGAAAACAATTCTGTATCAGGGTTTAATGCTTCCAAAATCTAGCAAGATATATTATTAGCACAATGACATGATTCATCAGGTAATTCCTTAGATAGGTACTCCATTTCTTAGCATAACCATTCAGACCTGAAAGTAATATTACTTCACCATGACCCCTTGACCATGACTAAGCAAAGCACTGGGCTACCAGCTGTTATGTTGATAGGAGTTAATTTGAAAAGAAAGATGTCAAGTTGCTGCTGATGCATTCTCATAACTGCATTTCACTCAAAGCTTACCTGGTTTCTTTTGAACTAAAGCTGTCAGCTTTTCATTTATTTTGTGCTGCACCTCAGAGAGTCTGCTTGACAATGGCTGGTCTCCGATAGCACTTGATTCAATTGTTTCTCCATATGCCTCTCCTTTACTTTTCAGGATAGCTACTACACTCATTTCCTAGACGTGTAACTACGCTCCACAATCAATAATTCAAATGGAGGCTCAAGAACACGGGCTAGCCCACTGAAGATATCAAGATAGTGTGTGGAAGACTGCTAAAGCCGAAGAGCAGCTAGTTAGGACGTCAGACTCCGGAGCCCACTGAGAAAAAATCAATGCTGATGCTCAATGGTGTGGGCGCAACGTGGGCGCAACAAAGATAGGTCCAGAGGATAGATAAGGAACATTAGGAGCAAGCTCCAGTCTCCACACTATCTCGTTCCAGAATATGGAAAAATACACAGCGTATATGAAAAATGCTCAACCATTCACCACAACCAATATAAACATTCACACGTTGACGTGATGCGCGTTTTTAACAAGGTTGTAGGAATTGTTGACGACAAAGGTATTGAAACGAACCACGACCGAGACGGGAAAGTGACGTCATGTGACACATGACGTCACAGTCGCATTATCTATGCCGCATTTCCCACATTGATATGAAAGTCACTTTCTAAAATTTGTAGGTAGGGCTTTAGCGATTTGTTTTAGGACACCAATGTCATGTGTCTTACGCTATGTCCAGCACCATCACTGGCTAAATATCGGTGGGGCTCGAGACTGTCACCGGGACTGCACAAAATGATAGCCATGAACAAGGCCGCAGTCTGTGATATTCTGTTTATAAGTCAAAATCACGGTTTTCAGACTGAACATATATTTGCTCTCAACTGACTAGGTAGCTCTGCATGCATGCAATCGTTCAAGCAATGCGTAGACACGCGGCCTCCTTTTGACGGTGTCGTAACATGGGTTCCTGAATGACTGATGTCCGGACGAAGCATCCCGTGAGTAGCACTGCCGGCGCACGATCTGCCCGCTCCCTCTCTCCTCCTTCCCCACTCCGCCAATCAGCGCGCCCCACGGAGGCACGGCCTCGCACTCGCACACACGGAGCGGCTCGAGACCACCTAGCACTAGCGCTAGCTCTAGCGCGACCACAATACTTATGGAACACTGAAGCATACATCGACTTGCACAGTGCACACACGGCCAATTGACTCAGCACTCAGTACCAGAATCATTCTAAACATGGTTTGGTTATATGAAATGATAATTAAAAGATAATTAACTAATATGATAATTAATACCTATTCACATGCCCTTGCTGAAGAGCGAGTTCAATAAGACTTCGCCCACTGCTCCTGGAAACATTTTGGTCCGTCTTTGAACTGATTCAAATTGTAACATTACGGTGTAATAAACGCGTCGTTAAATAGGTATATGCACACAGGGAAAACAAGGCACATGAAAAACTTGCGAGTGCGCCACCAAGATATGCACGCGGTGGGCGCGGGTCCCAGGCGAAAGGAATCGTACCGGGTAAACTGAACGCGGCAGTGCTCAACATTGCCATTTCACCAACGATACTGATACGACTGTGCCCAATGGAAATCACAGAACATATCGGCGCACTTACAAAACGCCAGCACACAGGAGAAACAAACTGATGGCAAATGTAAATTATCACATGTCGTTCGACTAGGAAGTACATATCCACACTGTAAAGCACAGACCAGCCGCCAAAGCCTCGATGACTCGATGTAAAGATGCTCCGCTAGCAACGTTCCCACATGCTCCAGATACATGCCCCGGCGGCCCAAAGCTGCGCACCCCGACTGAGCACGAGCTCCGCAACTACCGGTGTACGGCCCGTACTGACCACACGTCTACTCGGCGATGGCTGATCGAACAGAATATGCCCGTGGAGTGCCCGGCGACCATAGCTGCTGGGTGCTGGCAGTTGCGCGCCTGTCCAGTCAGGCGCTGGTACTGTAGAACCCTACCCACTGTCCAGTGTACCACATCGGTGCAGCGGCTGTCCACTGTTCAGTGTGCCACACCGGTGCTGCGGGCTGTCCACTGTTCAGTGTACCACACCGGCTCTGTGTATAGTGTCCACGGTCCAGTCACACGCCGGTCGAGAGCGGTCACGGCCGTGGCACCCTCGGACCGGCCGGTTTCTACATCGATAGCGCAGTCTCCCGGAGCGGTCCCTACCCGGTGTATCGTCCGTCAGTTCACTGGTGTTTGTAGATGGTGCGGCCCGCTCACTCGTGTTTGTAGATGGTGAGACTCTCGGCTGGTTCACTGATGTTTGTAGCTGTTGAGACTCTCGGGTCAGATCACTCGTGTTTGTAGATGGTGAAGCTCTCGGACCGGTTCATGCCCGTTGTTTCGGCGGACGCGCTCACCGGTTCGGCCACCACGCTCTGCGTCATGGCCTCGCCGGCGGCGCCGCGCACGTTCTGGCGCCGCGCGCCGTTCCCGCCGCCGGCCGCCGGCTCCGCGGCGCCGTCCAGCCCCAGCAGGTGTTTGCGGCGCAGGTACGGCGAGCGCGACTCGGCCGAGCTGCCTGAGCCGGGCCGCGAGGTGGCGCGCGCGCGCGGTGCCGCCGGCTCCTCCGAGTCACTGGAGAGGCGCGACGACCGGCCGCGGCCCGCGGCGGAGTGGTCGGCGCCGGCAGCCTGTCGGCACGGACGGCACTCCGGTCAGAGGGGCTCACTGCTCACAGACCCCGGTCAGAGGGGCTCACTGCTCACAGACCCCGGTCAGAGGGGCTCACTGCTCACACACTCCGGTCAGAGGGGCTCACTGCTCACACACTCCGGTCAGAGGGGCTCACTGCTCACAGACTCCGGTCAGAGGGGCTCACTGGTAACCGACGTCGGAAACTGCCGACAGGACAACGAACAACCTATCTGCAACGGCACCAACAAATGCATACAACAAACTACAAATTCTGCAGAACGCCGGGTTTTGATACTAGCCAAGCGTGCAGGATTTAGTACTCACCGGAGGTTCTCATAACACGTGCTGGGTGGGTCGGCTTTACTGTGCCGATTCTGGCTGGGGTTTTGTCTGTGCCGAAGAGACTGGCTCTCTCTAAAACGAGGAGGCATAAAACATAAACGAAATACGAAGGACACTACTAAAGCGTGAAGCCAACAAACAGCGCATGCGCTCTCGCGACAAAACAAAAAGAATGCTTGAAGCAAGTTTGCAAGACAAGGCTACGCGCAAAGACAACGGCAAACAAAGACAAAACTACCACTAGGACAGAGAAAGACCAACATGTAAGCATGTTAGCTGAGACTTTCGACATAGGTACGTGAGGCTGCCGTTCCGATCTGAGCAGCGAGTGCTGCAAAAGTCGGTCGGCTGGCCGCAGACACACAGCGTTCGCCTGTCACTGACCTGGACTCTGTCTGACCTGTGACCCGACTGACCCCGGCTGACCCGTTACTGGTCTGTTCTGTTACCCGTCTGGTCTGGAAGCCACACTGACCTGGTGGGAGCGGACGGTGCGCCGCTGCATGTGCAGGCTGGCGTAGTTTTGTCCGCCGGACGCGCGGCGGCCGCACACCTGTTTGATGCGCTGCAGAACGGACAGGAACGCCTGCGGCACCGGCAGACACACCGTCAGAGGGGGATGCGGCGGCACACGGCCAGAGGGGAACAGCGACACTGCTCTACACAGGACACAATACATATCGCTCAATCCCTATACAAAGCTAACACAATACATATAGCTCAATCCCTATACAAAGCTAACACAATACATATCACTTATAACAGCACATCACTTACGATACACCACAAACCACGTGCACATGGCCTATACATGAGACACATAGCTGATACACAACATTCGCTTGAACACCACACAACGCTTCAGTCATTAATGCCATTAGTAAGGCATATCCAGCACAATGGCATCACGACAAGGCAAATAAACTAGAATTAAAGAATAATTGAGAATTGGGTCGAAAATATAAACTCGGGAAAAAATTGAAGAAGTGGAATTGAGTATTAATCATTGAGTACACTAATGTATTAAACTGAATTGAAACGCATCCACGACAGGGACTAAACAGGCACGCGGCAGCGTCATAATTCGTCTCAGCCTAGCTTGCTAGGCAATCGGCATGCTATATCCATGCACCCATGTGCCGCGAGCACTAAACATTGGCTTACCTGAACGAGCACTAAGCCTCGACTTACCTGAGCGACACGAGCTTCAAACAATGACTCGCCTGAGAAACAGGCTCCCCAAATACACTCGCCTGAGAGACACGAGCGCCAAACACAGACTCACCTGAGAAACGTTAGGATCAAACTCTGACTCACCTGAGCACCAAACACTGACTCACCTGAGCACCAAACACTGACTCACCTGAGCACCAAACACTGACTCACCTGAGTGACTTCTTCTCTGGAGAACTCCAAGCATGCTAAGCAAGGCAAAGCTCAAACTAAAACAAAACAAAAACACAAATCACTTGGCTTGAAGCCAAAAAGAATCAAACCAAAAGTAAGCACACGAGCATCAAAACGCGTTTAGTAGCGGAAAAAAACGCATAACGTGCAGCTCATACGCGGCAAACAGCCAAAGCGAGCTGATAAATCGGCCATCGCGCAGGCGCGCCCGAAGTCTCTGAGATGGTGAGGTGGAGGGACGAATGGCACACCGAGCACGGACATTGATGAGTGCCCTCTTATACGTACAGCTACAGCTGACCATTTTGTGTGTATGGGAGTGTGCGATTAACCGATAATTTGGATTAGCTAGATATAGATTGTTTCAGTGCGTGGCTTTAGCACAAGGACATTACAGGAATCCGCCGCGCTGCAGAAATAAGAAATTACCTATCATAAATATTGACGGTGATTGGCATCAAATGGAGGCCAAAGCCCAAATGAACCATACTAACTAGAGATGTCAATCGGATACCAACTTTTTGGTATACCGATACCAAACCGATACCAACTTGGTATTTGGTATTTCAGTCCTGATGTGTTTGGTATTTTGTTGGTATCATGAATCCTCACTAATGTATAAGAGCCTAAGATATCGGTAAAAAGTTGGCATTTCTCTCATATTCCCAAGTTGGTTTGGTTTCGGTATTTCTCCATGGTTTTGGTTGGTATTTGGTTTGGTATCGGTATTCCGATTTTCCGTAATTGACATCACTAATACTAACCCCAGTACAGTGTATCGAAACCCTTCACACATAGCAGCTCATCCATTAAAAGCAGACTTGAAGCTACATTGGAAACCAGAGTATTCCACGTTATGTGCTCTGTTGAACCACGTATCGCATAGATATTATGCTGGCATGCCGTTAGCAGACGAGTTCCTCCCGGCAACATTAGTCACATTCTGGCAGCGTTACAGCGTGACCACGGTCATAGAATACTAGCGTGACCTCCCACCTACGACGCTCGCTGCTGACACTACCCTATCGCCATGACAAAGTTTGGAACCATTCGTCATTTTGCATCGAAATTGTCCAGAAAAAATGTCAAAATCACGTTATAAAAATACAAATACACATACAAAGTGAAAACCACATACAAATATTAAAAAAGGAATGTAATAGATAACATGGAATAGGTGGGGCGTGGTGCTTTGACCTTTTCCCGACCGTGGTTGGTGGCTGATGTTCTGACCCTGTCCCAGCTGTGATGGTCATGGGTGGGGCGCGGTGTCCTGACCTTATCCCAGCCGTGGTTGGGGATGCTCTGCAGCTGCGATATCATCTCGAGGCTGGTGTGGGCGTCAGCGCTGTTCTGCACGTCGGCCGCCGCCAGCAGGTACTGCTCCAGCTCCGTGCAGCAGGTGGTCTCTGCCAGCGACATGAACCTGGGGGCGGGACATGCACCGGTCACAGGGGCATCCGTGAACGATACGACACCTAATGAAACACAGAGCAGAGTACCCACTGCAGACCCCGAGCGAGGCCCGAGACACGCAGCGAGGTCTGTGTGAGGCTCAACTGTGATTAGGTCCAACAGTGAACACAAAGCACTCGTCACCCATCGCAGTACACTTGACTATAATATGACACGTAAGCGTTCACAGTATCAGAACAGTAAATACTGCAAATCCAGCCGGTTCCCCGTCGTCCACCGACGCCGCTCTCACTTGTCGGAGACGAGGATGGCGCCCAGGTTTCTGCTGAGGAAGACGACCGAGTTGCTGAGCAGGGTCTCGACCATCTGCCGGACCTGTTGGGACCAGCGCTCGGCGGGCAGCTGGGCCGAGAGCCGGCGGCAGTCGAGCAGCACATCTAGCACCGTCTCCTGGCTCTGCGCACACCGCACAGCACCACAGTCAGCTGTCGACTCAATTATCTTTTGGGACACATCGACTGAAAGTCTGTGCAACACCGGCAGGAAATGACGTCCCGCCGGAAGGTCTCGGTATTGATGAACGGAAAGGGATCGCCACCCTGTCCCAGATCCGGGGAAGGTGGTCCCGTCTAGTCAGATGACGACCCCAGATTCAAGAAAAGAATGATTGTCCGACCAACACCGTTGGCCGGCCTCCCATCAATGGAGGAAACCGTAACTCGGTGCCAGGTCCGGTCCGGGGAGGGTGCTGCCACGGTCAGGGGCAGTTCACTGTCCGACACACCAGAGTGGCACCTGACCTGACACCCAGGTCAGGTCAGGTCAGGGTCAGCTGCCACCGTCCGGAGACGGCTCACTGTCCACTCACCAGTGTGGCCGCCTCCTGGAAGCACCAGGCGCGGTACTCGTCGGTGATCTCGCTGAAGCTCGGGTCGGCCCAGACGGCCACCCGGTTCTGGGTGACCCAGGCCAGGCAGCGCGCCGCCAGGTCGTCCAGGTCGCAGTCGGCGGCCGTGCACAGCGTCTCCAGCACGCCCGGGATACACTCGCTGCACGGCTGCAGGGGACATGTGCGCAGCGGTCACAGATAGCGGTCAGAACTCAGAGGTCACAGAACGGCCACACAGCTGTTACAGGACGGTTATATAGCGGTCACCGAGCGGCCAAAAGGCAGTCAGACCTCAGATGTCACAGACCGGTAAGAGGTTATACATACTGGGATCACCGACTGGGAGATCGGGAGTACCGATATAATAGAATACAGAAATGGTACTGATAAAAGTAGGTATGTATATGCTAGCGACATGGAGAAAAAAAATGCAGACAGATGACCGACACACAGAATGGCGAGCATCCCATGAGGCAGTCGGTTGTGTCGATCGTGCCTGTATCCGCATGTATCTGCACGATTCCCTGGTGCGTACCTTGTGGAACATGTGACAGAGTCGGACGCGCATGGCGAACTCGGCCATCCGGATGAGCGCCTTGTGGTTCAGCATGACGGCCAGCGTGATGAGGTCGCTGAGGTCGACGTCCTCCGGCACGTACATGGCGCCCGAGTACAGGTGGAACAGCACAAACTCCACCGTCTCCAGCTTGTGGCTGTCGGAGCAGCGCAGGCGGCGTCAGTGACGGAACAGAGACGGTGTCAGCTGCTGTGACACCGCATGTCAGTGTAAAGTTATTCGTCACACAGGAATGGCACCCACACAGACACATCACACTCCGCGAGGGTCGCCGGCCACTGACCCGTCGATGTGGATGACGTTGTGGTGCGGCTTGTCGAGCAGATCTCGGAAGTACTGGGAACGGGCGGCCAGCACACAGCGGTGTGCCGACACCTCCTGATTGTCCACCTGCGGGCCGGGAAGACACAGACAGGGGTTAGGCCTCCTATCAACCGACACATACACAGACGCACACGCATGCACGCGCAAACGCACTCATTCGCGCGCCCACACAATTCGTGTGAGGAAGCAGAGGCAGAAGAAGTAGAAACGCCAAGCACCGTTAGCTGATAAGTCAGCGTCAGCCGCCAAGGACTTTGTGATGGCACTATGCACCAGGTCTCAGATGACCTACAGTGTGGCAGCATTGCCCCCACCCGCGGTTCTCAGCTGATCTCTATACAGCACTGCACCACCCCCGGCCCTCACCGCTGACCTATATGGTGACAGCACTGCACCACCCCGGCCCTCACCGCTGACCTGTATGGTGACGTCGGCGTGCAGTCCATCAGAGAGCATCTGCAGCAGGTCGGCTGTCAGCTGGTCAATGCCCTGCTTGTTGCGCGTCTCCGGGGACTCTGGGGAGGGGAGGCCAGTGGACAACATCAGTCACAGCCGACCGCTGTATCATTTATTTTTGTCGACATCTGCGCGTTCCCACCTAACCCCTGAAAATGTCTGTCTCCCAGTACTCACGGCGTCTGAAGGATTTGCCGGAGGACACGTCCGACGCGTCGTCTGAGACGGGCGGCGACTCTGGTGGGTTGGACGGAGGCTCCCGCGGGCCGGGCGGGGGCCGCTGGGGCGCCGGCACCGGCCGTCCGCCAGCCTTCCGACGGGTCAGCGTGCCGCCGCTCTCTGCCGAACTGGAGGGGGCCGGTCGTGGCGGCGGAGGCCGCGACACCGCGTTCCTGCCCGAGTGTGAGCGCAGGAACGAGCGCTGCACGGGCGGCGTCGGCTCGGGAGCCGCTGTGGCCGGCCGCCGCCCGCTGGGCTCGGTGCGTGACGTCACGCGGCGGCCGGTCGGCGCCGCGCGAGACCCGCCGGCCGGCTCGGTGGAGCGGCGGCGCGCCGGCGCCGAGGCGGCCGGCCGGTGCGGCGGGCCGACGCTCTCCAGGCTGTCCCGCTCGCGGCCGGAGCCGGAGTCCGGGCGGCGGCCGGCGCTGGTACCGGCGGCGGCGCGCGGCCGGCCCTGCTGGCGGCGCGGCTGGACCGGACGCGCGGCGCGCCGGGCCGCCTCCGGCGTGGTGCCCAGACTGGCGTGGCCGTCGGGCCGGGCCGGCCGGTCGGCGCCCACCAGCGGACTGGGAGCCGCCGGCCGGCCGCGCTCCTGCTCCGTCCGTGCCTGGCAGTCGAGGCTGAGGTTGCGGCGCCGCTTCTCGTGGCGCAACACGCGGGTGGTAAGCTCGGGCGGCGGCCGGCGCGGCCGCTCCGTCTCGCCCACCGTGTAGAACAGACTGCGGCCCGAGGCCTCCGTCTGCTCAGAGTCCTCGTCGCCGTCCGTCTCGGCGGTCGGGCGCCGCTCCGCCGCCGTGGCGCCGTGGAATGAGAGGCTCATGGAGTCGCCGGCCGGGCGGCGTGAGGGCTGCGGCGCCGCCGCCTCGCCGGTCTCGTTCATGTCGATGTAGAGGTAGACAGAGTCGGATCCGTGGCGGGGTCGGCGCGGCACTGGCGGCTCGGCTGTCGTCGGCAGCTCGTTGAGATCCACGAAGAAGACGTGCTGCGAGTCGGGCGGCCGGCGCGGCGGCAGCGGCGTCGGCGTCACCGGTTCGTGGTGGCCGGCTACGATCGGCACCTCGTCCAGCGGGACGGGCGGCCGGCGGCCCGGCGAGCCGGTCACACTATCGGTGCGCTCCTCCCCGGCCACCAGGTCGGGCCGTGCCGAGTCGGACCACAGCCGGCCGGCCGGCACCTCGCCCAGGTCGTGGTCGGCGGTGCGCTCCGGACTGCTGCAGCCAGAGCCGTTGAACAGCAGGCTGCCTTTGCGCTTCTCCTCGATCTGCATCCGGGCCACCTCGGCGGGCGGGGGCGGCGGTCCGGCCACCGGCGGCGGTGAGGTGGCCGGCGGCAGCACGTCAGGCCGCGCCCGGGTCGGCCCACGGTCCAGGTCAGCCCCCACCGGCTCACAGTCCCCGTCGCCCATCAGCTCTGCGGCGTTGATGAAGCATTTAGCACGTGGACTGGAGTTCGTGTGACCTGGAAAAGATGCACATTTTATCAGTGGGTAATTTACACACTTAATACTTCACTGTTGCAAACTGTTGCAAACTTGCAACAGTGTAAAGCACTGGATATTAGCAAAATGATGTATGAAAGACAGACTCACCAGGTTGTGCTTGGATTGAGCAGCTGACATCCTCTCTCTCCCCTAGACTGTCACTGTCAAGACTGTCCTGGTCTGGATCTCTTTCCAGTGCAGCATTCTGCACCTCCTTGGAGGTCCTCCTAACCTCCCCATCTGGTGGGGTGCTCATTTTTGCCACCAGCACACAGTTACCTGGAACAGTCACATTCAATTGCTAACACATTCATGAGTTAGAGCTAAATGCTTATGTGATAGTTTGCACACAATCACTTCAGATAGCCATCTGCATAATAATAAACAGCATGCCAGTGTCGGGTGAAAACTGATACAATAACTTCGCATTTCATCATGTTTGATGTCAACATAATTACTTTACTCTACATGCAGTATACCTACCAAGCAGATTTCAGCTTCCTTTTTTCCATGTCAATTCTTGTGTGAAACACCTATAGAAACCTACCAATTTTTACTAAGGTAGGTACCTAATATTGATGTTTGCAACTCTCATCATGTACTATGTAGTAAACCATGCATCAAAGCCAATACCTATACTGCATATACCGCATTATACCCCATGTATTAATATTAGCCCCGGGTCAATTGTGGTTCGTGGATTATTGTCAATGCCCAATTTGATGGTTAGATTGAACGAGGGCCGAGGGGCTTCACCACCATTTACAGGGTGGGGCAGAAAGATTTACCTGTTTGTTTTCAGTCCATTACTTAAAAAGTTATGAACGGATTTTGATAAAATTTTGCATGCAGCTTCCCAACTGACTCATGTATCAACTTTAAGATCGTTTTTACATTTTGTAATAGTTGTTGTTGTGCTATGGCGAAGATGACTAAGTAAGCCCAAATTGCGGCGCTGAAGTAGACTGGCCACAGCTCCCGAAGCGTTGCCAAACAGCTCGGTGTTGCCGTAAAAACTGTTTGCAGTATAATTAAATGACTTAAAAAGACAGTGCTAGTGTCGTCGAAGTACATGCCAGGCAGAACAAGGGATTTCCGCTTCAAAAAGCCAGTTGATATCGTGCACAAGAAGGTGTTTCAATTCCTAGGCGAAGCATGCGCAAACTGCCAAGGGAACTCGTTGTTTAGCCCAGAACCGCCAAGAGAATCATAAACGACGGCTTAGGCTTTATGTCATACAGGATGCAACGTCGACACCTAATTTCGGCGGCATCCAAGAAAAACCAGCTACACAGGATCCAAAAGACGTTGGAGGAGATCAGGAGCGCCGGTAACAAGGCATTCTGCTGGTCCAATGACAACATGTTCATGCCTGAGCCCCAGAGACACTCCCAAAGCGTCAACATTTTGGCAGATGGTCCATCCAGCATTGATCCTGCTATTCGCACCATTTTTTGTTGCTTGAAGCCTGCTGGTGTCATGGTTTGGGCTACCGTCGCATCCGACGGCTCAAAAGGAGCCTTGGTCTTCATCAAGGAGGCTGTGAAAGTGAATTCAGAGGTTCAAGTCCATCTGCTGGAGGAACATGCTTTGTCTTGGGTCACTCAGTCGTTCTGAGACGGATACGTCTTCGTCCAGGACGGTGCGCCGCTGCAAACGGCCAACATCGCTCAACCGTGGTGGAAGACCCACATGCCTGGGTTCTGGGACAAAGACATTCGGCCATCATCAAGTCCAGACCTGAACCCGATGGACTTCGCAATCTGGGCCATCTTAGAGAGGAGGCTGTGTGCAGTGCCACACAGCAGAATCGCCGCCCTGAAGCTGGCCCTCGAGACGGCACCGTCGAATCTTGGCGGGGACACAGTGCGGCGCTCGTGCCCCTCCGCAGAGGGACGTTTCGAAGCAGTGGTGAAGGCAAAGGTGACCATATTGAGTCATTATGCCGTCGCTGAGATGTGTACATGTTACTGCATATATGTGCCAGAAATCAATTTGATATCTTTGTTCGGGGCCGAAATATTTAAGAAAATTAAGAGGTAAATCTTTCTGCCCCACCCTGTAGAACATGGGGAGGTCCAGCTAAAAAATATACACCGATACCTATAGCTGCCGTAAAGAGACAAAATACCTGGGGAGTCAAGTCCAGTGACCCCCACCCGCTGCCTTATGGCAGGGTCCACACCTCAATGGTGCGACTAAGCTCTAACTGCCACCAGTTCAGTTGTCACTTTTGTTGTGGATTTGGTATATTGTCAATGCCTCAGCATTCATTCCAGCAATCATGCAGTCACACTCACATTACCATATTTGCAGTAAATAGGGATAAAAAGTTGTGTGCATGTATACAAATGCATATACCTTACCTTACCTTACCTTACCTTATCGGTTATCGGGTAATAAGGCCACTAGGCCTGGAGGTCCCGCTCCCATCGAGCGTGTGTGACAGGTAAAGGCGAGGCTCTTAATGGTAGGGATTCGGGATGTCGTACATCTTGTTCGCCCAGTGTCGGTCCAGTCGTGCCTTGAACTGAGCAACCGATGTGGCAGACACTACTGTGGACGGCAGGGCGTTCCAGTCGTTGACGACTCTTGTGCTGAGGGCGTTTCTTCGTGTCAGGGTGTTCGCTCTGGGCTTGAGCAGTTTCCACTGGTGGCCTCTTGTTTGGTTGGAGGTGCTCTTGTGCAGGAACCGTTCGGGTTCCACTGCCATCTCGCCGTGCAGCAGCTGAAAGACGGTGATCATATCGCCTCTGCGTCGTCGGTAGTACAGCGAGGGGAGGCGAAGATGACGTTGTCGGTCCGGGTACGGGAGATGCCGGATGCTCAGAACCATCCGGGTTGCCCTGCGCTGCACCCGCTCCAGTTTTGCCTGGTCAACTCTGCCAAAGGGTCCCCAGATCAGGTTCCCATACTCCAGAAAAGGTCGGACCATGGATTTGTAGAGCAGAGGGAGAGTGACCTCATTGATGGTAGCGAAGGAGCGCTTCACGACAGCCAGCATCTGGGAGGCTTTCGCGATGGCAGCCGCTGTTTGCTGGTGAAACTTCAGGTCTTCGTCGATGATGATGCCCAGGTCCTTATCCTCCGTAACTCCCTCGATGGCAGAGTCGTTCAGGCGGTAGGTTCTCCCAGGGTTGAGTCTGCCAATGTGCATCACTTTGCATTTTGAAGCATTGAAGGGCAGCAGCCACTTGCTCGACCAGCGGACGAGGGCGTCGATGTCGGCTTGGAACTCGGCGGAGTTTCCAGTCACGTGGCGGTACAATTTGGTATCGTCGGCGAAGAGCTTGATGCAGCCGGAGACCTGACCAGGCATGTCATTCACAAATATATTAAACAAGATCGGCCCGAGCACAGATCCCTGGGGGATTCCGCTGGTCACCGGAGTCCAGTCGGACTTTGCACCTCCGACGACCACCCTCTGTCGGCGATCGAGCAGGAAGGCGGCGATCCAAACTAGCAGTTTTCCCCTGATGCCATAGCCATGTAGCTTCGTGATGAGACGTTGGTGCGGGACAGAATCAAAGGCCTTGGAGAAGTCCAGGTATGCGACATCGATCGGTTCCCCGGCCTCCACAGCATATACCCTATCAGTCTTTTGAGGTTTTTACCTTTTTAGAGCCTACCCAGCCTACCACAAAATGTACAAAATGTACTGGTACTGTACTCTTACTGCAATAAAAGATTTATACTTTACCTCTTTACCCAAGTGCCACAGTGCAAAGCCGTGGACGTCTGAATGCCTTGGTCTGAATTTGTGCCTAAATTTCACGCTTTACTCTCATAAGTCTCATTCAAGATTACTTTACTCCCATTTTTACTCCCATTCAGCATTTTTCATTTACGAAGTAGTGCCCGTGTTTGGTAGCTGTATAATGCTAATATGGCAGTATTTAAAAATACAGAAACGGCGCACTTGTAAAGTATTTCCGTGTGTTCAAAAGCGATATCATCATGATTTGTTGAGCTAAAGTAAGCTACTACTTGGATTACACGGGCCACTGATTTGCTGTAAAAGTTCATGAGCTAGCACACTCAAAAATTAACGTACACCCTCTTCTTATCGAGCATGTGTGCGCGCACTGAACTCTTGTGCACAATTCTTGTGCAATTTTGATTAGAGCTCGGATTCTCTCGGATTCAACTCGGTTTCGCGGATCCGTTTTCAATTTCAATTTGTATCTTCTGCAGAGCAGACTGGAGAGTGGTGTGGGCTTGACAGATTTTTGGTCTGCGGAACATATGTGTCTCAAGAACGTTTGTGTGTACGGCATTTCTTAAACAGTGAAGAAGTTAAGAGTAAAAATTTCAATTTCAATTTGTGTCAACGCTACAGCCTGGGCCTTCGAGGACAAGCCTCAGCTATCAAGGTCAGAATCAAATGCATTTTTGGCTTTATTCTGCACTGCTGACTGCAGTATGGATACTGAGCTACACTAGAGTGGTCTTCAGGCTTCTAGGAAGTAAATTATATGCTAGACCTGATAGGATTGTGTGAATCACTATCGATATGGGTAATCCTGGCGTCACTGGTAATATTTTCGTTCAAGGTTAAGGTTTCCTGTATTAGGCCGCCGTGCCAGGCCGAAGCATGCTGTGACGTCACTGGAAGAGAAGATAACGTACCACGCTATCAGTATCGACTGAGACTCAGATAGACTCAGATAACTCAGGCAGACTCAAACTGACCTGACAGACTCAAACCGATTCAGATCGACTCAGACCGACTCAAACCGACTCAGACCGACTCACTGACTTAAACCTATTCTGATCGATTTGGACAAACTCAAAATGACTCAGGCAGACTCAAACTGACTCAGTTAGACTCAGGCTCACTCAACCGACTCAAACTGATTAAGATCGACTCAGACCGACTGAAACTAACTTAACTGACTCCAAAATTGATTTTGATCGACACTATTCGATTCTGATCGACTCAGACACTCAGAACGACTCAGAGAGACTCAGGCAGACTCAAACCGACTCAGGCAGACTCAGACCGATTCAGATCGACTCAGACTGACTCAGACCGACTCAACTGACTCAAATTGATTTCAATCGACTCAATTCGATTCCGATTGATTCAGACAGACCCAGGCAGACTCAAACTGACTTGACCGACTTAAACCGATTCAGACCGACTCAGACTCAGAACGACTCAAACTGACTCAGATCGACTCAACCGACTCAAACCGATTCAGATCGACTCAGACTGACTCAGCTAGACTCAGAACGACTCAAACTGACTCAGACCGAATCAACCGACTCAAATCGATTTCGATCGACTCAGACAGACTCAGGCAGACTCAATCCGACTCAACCGACTCAAACCGATTTAGACCGACTCAGACAGACCCATCGGTTTGACCTGAATCATCAGACCTGAATCGGTTTGAGTCGGTCGAGTCAGGTTGAGTGTGCCTGAGTCGGTTTGAGTCTGTCTGAGGCTGTCTGAGTCGTTCTGAGTTTGTCTGAGTCGATCGGAATCGATTTGAGTCGGTTGAGTCGGGCTGAGTCAGTTTGAGTCGTTCTGAGTCTATCTGAGTCGGTCTGAATCGGTCTGAGTCTGCCTGAGTCGGTTTTAGTCTGCCTAAGTCGGTTTGAGTCTGCCCGAGGCCCGGAGTCTGTCTGAGTCATTCTAAATCTGTCTGAACTCTGAGTTGATCGGAATCGATTTGAGTCGGTTGAGTTGGTCTGAGTCCGTTTGAGTCATTCTGAGTATCTGAGTCGGTCTGAGTCTGCCTGAGTGGGTTTGAGTCTGCCTGAATAGGTTTGAGTCTGCCTGAGTCTGTCTGAGTCGATCGGAACGATTTGAGTCGGTTGAGTCGTTCTGGGTCAGTTTGAGTCGTTCTGAGTCTATCTGAGTCGGTCTGAGTCGATCTGAATCGGTCCGAGTCTGCCTGAGTCTGTCTGAGTCGATCGGAATCGATTTGAGTCGATCGATTCGAGTCGGTCTGAGTTAGTTTGAGTCAGTCTGAGTCGATATGAATCGGTTTGAACGAAAACGCTACCGATGACGCCAGGGTTACCTTATACCGATATACCTCACTATCAACTCACAATGAACTGAACTGTCTTCTAAACTATCACTGGCAAACGGGGGATGAGCAAGGTTGGTTGGGGGCCGGGGGGGGGGGGGCGTGTGTGGTGTCATTTGCAACAAGCACCTCTTGGATTTGTATAGTCTCTCTTGAAAGTATCGCGTCCTGGGCTGCGGCGGCTCAGCGAACTATTCCATTCAGTTTGAGGACCCCAGTAGGGAGGTCATGGCCTGTATCATAACAAGTACGCTGTAACACGATTTCACGCCAGCGGTAGAAGGAAAACTGCTATATGACGCAGGCCCCAGCGGCTGACAACTGGGTCAAAACAGGCGGAGGCCGGCCAAAGGTCATGCTCGTATTGCTCTCCCTTGACCCCGTCCACCGCCCCAGGCGGACACCGGCGCCGCTTGGGCTCACCAGCCGGGCGCTCATTGGTGTGCCTTACTGGGCGCCAATCACTCAGTGTGCGTGACGCGTAAAATCACAACGAAGCGAAGTTCCGCCATAACCCTTACTGTGATGAGGCCTTCTGAATGACGAAAACAGGTCATGCGGGGGGGGGGGGGAAGCCTGGCATCGAACATGGCTGAGCAGCATTTCTTTTCTTTTCGTCGCCGTTCACTAACCGGCTCATTAAAAAGAGAGAACTTCAAGTATAGGACTTAATGGCTGGACAGCGAATTGGCGAAATGGCTAGAGAGATAATTCTTGTTTTTGAATCCGTTGACGAGTGCAGTGCATGTGCAAGCACGGATGCATTCTGTTAGCGGGTGCAACTGATGATTTTTGGGGTATATGGGCACGGGTTTCCGGATTTTATCCCCCTCCCAAAAAAATGTGACAGTCGTGCCGATGACGAGTCAAATTGCTAACTTTGCAATGAAACAAATCTCAACAAATCCTCTGCGAGTAGGGTGGCTTCCGTTGACCACGTGCTTACTGCCATCACAAGTTACCGGACGGCGACTGCCACCTCCCCCTATCCCTCCGCAGTCCGCAACCACTCCCCTCGGCCCGCCGCGCCGGCTGCCTCCGCGTGTCAGGCTTCGGTCAGTGCTACCAGCGGCTCTCAAACCTTTCCGCTCAACCGCGGCTCGGACAGGTGGCGCCTTCCCTCAGAGTCGCGATACTTTCAAGAGAGACTATACCTACCTATCAAAGTTCAAAACCACCCATTTATCCAATTACACTATATTACTTTATAAAGAAGAAATATCTTGAATATTTCTTGGCTATTGGGCTTTGCACGTCTAGCGTGATGCTGCTGGCTGATGGCTCTGTTTTCCAAAATGACATCCGCGAGTCCGTGTTTCTTGCATCAGTCAAACTGCAGCTGGAGACCCTCAGCTTGTGTGTGGTGCAATGTGAATTTACCTACCATATTCTGGTGCAGATTTTGAGTTGAGCTGTGTGTGTTCTAATATGGTAGGTATTATGCAGAACTGCTGTACTGAGTTGCTGGTGCATTGTCCATGGAAATGAGGAACATGAGACACAATGGTGAATGAAGTTGGCCTGGAAATAATTGGTTACTATTGCATTTTTCATAACTTTACTATAGATAGGCAAATTGTACTGAAAAACTTGTCTTGTACATTGTTCACTGGTGCAGGTTTCCAAACCGCATACACAGATGGACACACCTACACATTGTGTGTGTGTGTGTGACACATACACCAGGACTGGGACAAAGCTTAAGTTGATAGGTTTTGTTTGTTTGTTTTTGTTTTGTTGGGTTAGGCCCTTTTGGTCTGAAAAGACCATTTCAGGGCTGGGAGGCAGGAGGATAATAGGAAGTAGGGGAGACATTGGTCGGGGCAAGACCCTGGTGAGTTGCCGGGGCTGAGCCTGTCCAGATGACAGGCCGACAGCTGTGCAGCCCCTTGTCTCCCCAAGCACTCACCAGAAGTCTAGAGGGACCCACTTTCACATGGTGGACTCCGTGGGGCTCGTCCCCGCCTCCGCTGTGAAGAGTGGTGGGGGAAGGCAATCGGGTCCCAGCCCGCCCTCTCGGGGCCGGGCGCCGGCGGCCGACGCTCCACCACGCCGTCGTCCCCACACCATCTGCACGACGACCCGGACCCGGGACCCGGGGTCGAGGCAGGAGAGCCAAGAACCGTCGATACCGCGCCAACCTCAAGACTGAAGCCGCCTGCTAGAACGCCGAGGGACTACGTCGCAAGTTGACGGAGCTCCAATTCTCCAAAGTCCAAGGCTGGCTATCGGAGTCTAACATTGACGTCATCGCGGTTCAAGAGGCACAGTTCAGCGCTTCATCTCTCACCGACATCCCGGGATTCCAGACGGCGGCCGTCCGCCGAAGGGCACGGGGGCGGAGAAACTCAGGTCTGGCCAAAGGGGTCGACGTAGCGATCTACGTCCACAAGGGTCTCAACTTTGCTAAGCTAGAGACCGCCCTCTGGCCATGGCGGACACGACTACCGAGTGGTGCGGCATCCGCTTATACCTTAGCAACTCCGCACTGAAGAGCAGCAGTCCTGCGCCAACCCTGGACATCCACAACTTCTACCGGCCGCCAATTCGACCTGGCGAAGAAGGCCAGAGGTCCAACTACTTCGACCTGTCGGCCCTTACCCACCAACCCCCTACCGCTGGGGGACTGGAATGCCTACCATCCGGTCTGGGAATTGGGATCGGCACTGTCTGGAGGAGGACGAGACGGGACGACGTCTGGCAGATGGGATGGCACAAACCGGTGCCACCACCCTCAACGACGGCTCCCACACCAGGACCAGCTACAGGGGGCAACTCAGCTCAGCAC